AACTATCAGTATTGACTTATACTATCTTGAAGAAACTCAAATCATAGCCATAGCGATAGCTTTGCAATCAACCGTTAAGATTCGGAGCCGGAATCCTGTGACATTTTGAGAAAATATATCCAGACTGAGAAATTCACAGCTACAAGAAGCATGAGATAAGGACAACGATTTTTGCACATTTGCACGTGTTCACGTGAGTATTCACATCAGTCCTGGCGTAGAAACCAATAGAAACGATAGAAACCCTTTTGATTGACGTCCACCCAAATTCAATTTTTCGTTTGTGATGAAGGTCTAGTTGGTCGCGTGTGACTGGGAATCGCAGTAAGGGACAGTTCATTTTTTTACGGGTGCTGATGGGTTTTAGTCCCCCCCCGGCCTGTAAAAAATGAACGGTCCCCAACTTCGATTCTTTGTGTCACGGTGCCGGTGAAACTTTTAGGTAAAAGTTGCCTCGAGACAACTTTCAGGTGTACAGTAGAATACATGCGCAGTTCGAWTCAGTATCATGTTGCATGGTGAAAATTTTACGCTCGACTTGAACCAAGTATTATGTCCCTCCTCTAAGTCGTGACTGAGTTAATTCACTCCACTTAGAATTCACACCCAGTTGTATCAATTAATTGTTATAATACATGACATGTCAGTGGTTGAAGGTTCATTGTTGATCGAATTTTTCATTCAGCCTGCGTTGTTACTTCTTCTAAAATAYATCAAATATGGCATTTTTCATGAGTCACAACCTGGAAGTCTAATAATTCTAAATAATAATAATTCTAAAAAATTCTAATGATTATTAACATTTTCTAAAATACCATTTTTCATGTGTCACAGTCCGGTCAGTGTTCTTACCAATAACGAAGCCGCCTCCTTATTAGTAAATAGAAGAAAAAAAAGATTTTTCCATTTGTGGTGTTCATTTTGACCGGCACAAATGCTTGGTCTAAGGTGGGAGGTTACATGWTATCTTGGTGCAAGTGGCCCATTTGCCGATGGAATTTACGATTCAGATTGTTAAGACGCATGCATAAAATGCTTCTCTCATGACCTCCAACTAGAAACCCTCAAAGAGGGTGTCATGACAGAAATTGTCTATTTTGGAAATGAGATGTCTTATCATGCAACACATTTTCCTGTCCTACAACAATACGGCCACGAAACGCTAAAATGAAAATTTTTTTTAACTCGATAAAATCTGGCTACTGACAGCTCTGTTTACCTATGAAGTGACTATCTTAAACTAAAGTTACCATAAACACGACTACAAATTTCATAATATTATTTTCAAACCTTTTTTTTTTATTCTGTGAAAATTATTTTTATTCTACAACTGCATATATTAATCTTCCTCAAGTCCAAAGACTTCCATTTCAGCAACTTTGAATTTTTGACCTCCAGTTAAGAAGTTTGTTGCTGATTGACCTGAAGGAAGCTTATATGTATGACCGATATTGACATCGCATTTATTCGACTGAGGATTGCTTCTGACTAACAAATCGTGGTTCCCGCCAAATATAGGCCCATAGCCGTCATTGCAATATATAGCGTTTTGCGGGTTCCTAAACACCTTCATTTGAACAGGGGGTGTACTCACAGGGTTGACAAGGCTGAATAGGAATGCTGCATAATCAGACTTGTATGTGCCACCACCTGCAGAAAATTAAAAAGCAAATGACTTACAAAAAAACACAAAAAGACAATGTCATAAAATCATACTTGAACAGACGCCCTGTCTTAACATGTTTTAAGTTAAAGTTAAATACCGAGAACAGATATATAAAGCCCAAGGGCCGTCATTAATCCGATTATTGTTCCTTAATTCCCATAAGTGAATGCTTTTCAATGCTGCTTTTCAATTCTCCTTACTGTAATTTTAATGATCATCAAAAGAGTTATTTTTTTTGTCCATCAGATAGCTATGTAGTTTACAGTGTAAAGTGATAGAATACATAAATACATAAATACCACTAAATACTGCTAAATTATGCTAATCCTATTGTTTTCTATTGTTTAATTAGCACTATTTACTACTGTTGCACACTTTTAGTGCAGTTTGTACTCTATAGGTAAGCCAAATATTTTTTTCTTCGAAAAAAGATTATAGTAAAAAAATTTCTCCTGACCTCATTACACACTCATCAAGGGCAATATACGCGGTTAGTATTCAATAGTATCTAAGTAAATCCCGGGGATAGCGGGCTTTATCTAGATAAAGCCCTTGAATTAGTAATAAGAAGTGAAATATGGGAAATAACGCCATATGAATAACTAAGAAAACCGTGTCAACTATGAAATAAAATATGGGTACGTTTTCTCGTTTCTTGGTGTCCGTGGACACGAGGTGACTCGTTTAGTTGTTGTGGAGCTATTTTTTCACATACCTGACCAACTCTGCTCGGTGTATCCTCCAAAGATGTACCCCCCTGTGCTCTTGATCACTACCATGGTAGGTCCATTGAAAGAATTACACTTGGAATGGAAATTAGAGGAGCTCCATCCATCCCTCGTGGCACGGTACAAAATACTGCATTTACTGAACTTCTTATCTCTACCGTGAACAGCTTCAAGCCATTTCGCCTGATCAAAATTCAAAATTAAAGAGTCGTTATAAAGTTTTACGTCAAGCTCATTAACAATTCTTTCAATCTGGTAAAACCTCGCTTCTTCTAGTATTTCTTTACGCACAAGTCTATCGTCTGGTAGCAAGAGTTTCCCCGTCCTCAAGTAGTTCAGAATGTAACGGAAGCACGTGCCATCTCGATCGATGAAGTAACTACCGTCTTCTGCTGCCTTGGTATCAAAACGACCAGAGAACATGGCGTGCAGCATTGACCCAGCATCTTTGGTTAGTGTCTCCAGACTTGTAGTGAAGATTTGACCGCCAACATTAAGTTTTACGGTCGAGGAGAAGTGGACATGCTTCAGCTTCTTGTTTGCTGAATCAAAGGCTTCCTTCTCCTTTCGAACTCGGAGTGATGCACGCTTTAGAATTTCTTGAATTTCCCCAAAGAGGCAATCTACTTTTTCGAGTTCTTTGTCTTTTTGGCACTGCTCTGTTTTTACGTCTTTAGATTCAGTGGAGATAAGAATCAAAGCAAGAAAGTAACACAGCAACAGCATTTTGGAAAAATGTCTGAAAAAAACAAACAGCAAGACGTAAAAAAAGTGACGCTAATGGCCACGACAGTGGACTGCGTGACTCGCGTTTTTTTTACTTATTTTTGACAGATAACCAGTTTACGGATGTGTTGGAGATCTAAAGGGTTGATACCAGGGGAATTTCCCCCCTGGTGGATACTAGTTAAAAGATTAGCAATCTGCTGTGGCAGGGAGCTGAAGTTTTAAACTTGTTAAGTCTTTCATAGACGTGTTCCCAAGCTGAGCCCCACAGGCCGGCGCAACACTGTGTGATGTGCTGTTTTTTAACATCGTCCCGGCTTATCGAGAAGAAATCAAATATGAGTTTATACATAAGAAAACAATACATCATCGGCCGCACTTCCAAAACACGATATGACGATTCGTTATTGTAGCGCGAGGTGAAGTTTTAAAAACAAAATTTGAATGATTAACTTAACAAAAGACGATAGGTAAAAGCAAGAACATTTTGAGATGTTTTATTTTAATTTTAATCATATTTTAGATACAAATCGTAATTGCACTACAATAGGAAAATTAGGATCTAAAATCATCCTCATTCCATGGCCATTTATTTCGTCATTTATGGCTAATTAATAAATTTAATAATTTTAATTAATTAATTATGATTATCAACATAATCATAAACCAAGCCTGCAGAATCCATTTTCTTAAACTTCTGCCTTGGAGATCCACCCCCACCCCCCCTCCCCCCAAACATTGACATGTAGCTTCTCCTTCTCCAGAAATTACCCCAAGATGAGGTGCTCAAATACTTCTATTTCAGTTACGGTAAAATTCTGACTTCCAGCCAAAAACGTCGTCCCAGACTGGCCTGGTGGACACTCGTATGTAGAGCCAAGGATAGTTGAGCAATTATAGGAGTTTGGGGTGTTTACAATGCACAGGTCCGGACCCCCTCCAAATGCTGGCCCATAGCTGCTGGTACAATTTATCGCATTGGTCATGTTTTCCTTGACTTTTATTTTGATTGGCAATCCTGAAGGAGTAACCAGGCTAAACAGAAAAGCTGCATCATCTCTTTTGTAGCTATTGCTACCTGTTGGCAGAAAGACAAGTATAAGATGCCTTTTTTGTTCATTATTTTATAACATATTTTTATTTGATTTTTTATTGATTCTTATCGCAATGCCTTCCATCCTTTTTGGCGTGTCCTCCATGTTGATAAAAAAACGAATAGCATCCACTTAGTTTGGGGAAAGGGTATTTTTATGAGGAGGGGGATTCACATGGGGAAGGATCAGGTTTAGGAGGAGTTTGACAGGGATATATGCTTTTTGTCATTGATAAAAGGTAACCCATTTGTCCATCTAGCTTTTCTAAATTCTAATCTAAAAAGGGCCTGGATGAAAATTACTGTGTAAATTTAGATACATACCTTACCAAATTGTGTAAATTGTGTATATATTCAGTTTTTTCTTTTTTTTTGTTTGTTTTCCCTTCGCAAAAAGTCGAATATATAACTTACAATCCCATTTCTGCTCGGTGTATCCTCCAAAAATCTTGTTTCCAGATCTCACCACTACTAAAGTAGGACCTTTCTTGTCACAGCAGCTGTGGAAGTGGTTGCTTCCCCAACCGTTCTTCGTGGCGCGGTAAATAAGACTGTAAACGTCGTATGGCTTTCCAACAGCTTCACTTAACCAAGTGCGCTGTTCTTGTGACAGGATATCAGAGTCTTCATAGGGCCTTGGTTTAAGCTTGTCGATAATGTCTTGGATTTGGTAAAACTTCGCTTCTTCTAGTACTTCTTTACGCACAAGTCTATCGTCTGGTAGCAAGAGTTTCCCCGTCCTCAAGTAGTTCAGAATGTAACGGAAGCACGTGCCATCTCG